CTCGGCCATTTTGCAATAATGCATCAGAACAAAAGTGCACCAGCCGCCATACTGTTGCATCGATGCGTAGGTGGAGGTATGTATCACATCTTTCGACATCAGGTGACTGTGACGTCACAGTGATGTGATTGTGGGCTGCGTTATAGCGGGTGCGTAACTTCAAAGTGTATTTGCGTACTCGCTGCACCTCTCCTCTGCTAAGACCGTTGCTACGGTCGAAGGTAATCAGAAAATCAGTCTAAACGCTCACTTCTTGACATGTTGACATTGTTCTGGCCTACCTAATGTCTCTGGTTTACAATTGCATCGTTTCTTGCAACAAATGTCGGTTTGTGACGATCAATAGTGACCCGCTGCTTCTTTTCTTATATGTAAATGTCGATGGTCTTCTCATCGCGGCCTTGAACCTTGTACGGGTACGGTGGTTTTAGGGATCTCCGCATTGGACTTTGACGCAAGAAGGCACGGGAATCCTTTTGCAGGTCCTTTGGTACAAAGAAGGATCTACTGGAACTGGTGTGCCAAGATGTTAGCGGTAGCGTCAGATTTCTAACATGTGAGTGGAGTCTGCTTACAATGCTGCTCGTATCTATTACCTCATCTAAACTGATGGTAATGAACTGTCCAGGTAGACGCAGGTCTTCTCCGTATAATAAAGCCGTTGATGTGCCGGAGGTTGTCTTTTCATCCACTGCGGATTCCGAGTAGGTAGGGTCCTAAACATGCATGACATAAACCAAGGTCTTATGTTAATAAAAGGTATTCATACGTAACAATTATGGAACGGTTTACTGCAAATAACTCATACTTAGATTTTGTACGTGGCTCCCGAAAAGCGGATCGAGCAAAAACACATAGGTGTGAACCCGTATCTATTAGATATTGTATCTTAGACTTAGGATCCGTAATAAACAGGCGGATCGATGTACATAGGTAGTCATCTGCCACCTCTAATGGCTACCCTATTTGTTTACCGACTTTTTTTTGTAGCTGCATGGTGAATTTTTTTATAGGATAAGGTTGACAAATGAGCACACAGTCCACCTGATGGTAAGTGGTCGCTGTGGCCCATAGACATCTACATCTATCTTCGATTAGGAGTCAAAATGCAGATGCGTTGTCACCCGTGAGGACTAAGATGGAATGCCTCGTTTCCAGTAAAAAGGGTCTCCGGTTCTCTACACTCACCATACGAAACACAGCAGCGTTAAGCTGCTATTTTACGCTGGTATTCTGTGAGAGCGTGGTCTTTCCCCGGTCGAGCCGACCCATTCGTGCTACAACCATAATATAGATGCAGCATGGCTCTACCACGTATAAAAATGCATTTCCTTGCTCGATCTTTAAACCTCTAGTGACACCAGCAATGTGGATGATTATTTGGTCGAATGCGGGATTGGGAATGATTATTAGGCCGTTGTTTTCTGCTTCTTGTCTGTGAGCGTCATCCGCCGCGTAGCTCCATTCCTCGAGTCTTCGACTCAGTTCTTCAATCCGATGTGTTAATAACTAATTAACCGTACCTTGTACTGAAGTGGTTGAAGATGACGGATTAGTATTTATTCTTGCTACTTGCCTGATTACTGGTATGATGTCATTTATTTGGTCTGCCAGCTCTGCTATCTCCTCTAGGTTTATATTCATTTGCGATGCGAATATGGTTTGCAAATTAGTTGGAAGTCTATTAAGCCGAATAGTGCGGGTGAAATATGTGAGTACAGTTGGTCCAGCAAAAATTTGCAAATTACGTAAAACTTGCAATGGTTTCTTATCACCCAATTACTCGTGCATCAGGAGCTGTTTGATTTTGCGCTCTTACAAAGCAGCAAATCGCCGTATCCACTCAGTTTTAGGCTTCTCGTATTTCCCAGTAGCTGGCGGAAATACTACTACGTCTCGGGCTTCAGCAGTATGTTGAGTTTCCAGTTACGACAGAACGTAGTAGAATTTTTTATTGTCTTGGGTAATATAGAAAGGATGAACTGATCTTCAAGTTTGCCAAACCATAGTTGCGGGTCGTTGGGGTTAAAAACGGAGCTTTATATTCCAATCCTAAATGCTTTCATTGGCAATACATCCTTGTTAGCCTCTATTTCCTTTAATTTGAGGTCACCAGTAAAATGGTTATAATAAATGTATTTGTTTTCTTATGCCATTTACTAAAATATGACTAACTAATAACCATTACTTTATGCAAAAACGCAAATTAAAAGCTTAAATTAAATTTAATACAATTTTAATCACTTGTAATTCAGGTACAATGCAAGAGTTTGCCTAAAACATAAGCTAGTAAATGTTCAAAAGTATCAGCTTTTTAGTAAGTGATGCTTTGCCCAACATAAACCTACATCTATTATCATCTCGATCAAGAAACAAAATACAGATGCCTTGTCACCTCTGCGTAATATGGAATATCTGTTACCAGTAAAATGGGGTCTCTAGTTCTTGTTACTCACTATACGAATAGAATAGAATAGAATAGAATAGAATAGAATAGAATGATTTTTATTCAATATGGATTATTATATAATACTTATTGAAAGTCATTATTTTATTTACCACTGGTTCGGAAAATACCTCTGTCCTGGGAAGAACCAGCAAGAAACCCAGCGGGACTTTTTTTTTTAAACATAATTTCACTTAACAATAATTTTGTTTATACAATTTTAAATGAATTTTCATAGAACCAGCATGGTGGCGATCACCTTATTCCCAGGGGTTATTTTCATTCATGTATTCCTTGATATTATAATAACCCTTTTTGTACAGTTTTTCTTTAATAAAACTTTTAAACTTGTTTATTGACAAACTTTGAACATGTTCTGGGATTCTGTTGTAGAAGCGTATACATTGCCCCATAAATGAATTACTAATTCTGTGGAGTCTTGTAAGTGGCATTACAAGCTTATGTTTGTTCCTAGTGTTTAAGGTATGAACATCCTTATTCTTATTAAAGCTATTTATGTTTTTATGTACATACATTACATTTTCATAAATATATTGCGATGCCAAAGTTAATATGTTTATTTCTTTAAAATTTTCTCTATGGGACTCTTTACAATTTAGATTATAAATCGCCCGTACGGCTCTCTTTTGCAAAACAAATATAGCTTCAATATCAGTCGCATTACCCCATAGCAAAATTCCATAAGACATTACGCTATGAAAGTAACTAAAATACACTAACCTAGCTGTCTCAACATCTGTGAGACTTCTAATCTTTCTTACAGCATATGCTGCAGAACTAAGTCTGCTTGCTAATTTAGATATATGGGGGCCCCATTGAAGTTTCGCGTCAATAGTAATACCGAGAAAAACAGTGGTATCCACAAGACTCAACTCCTCCCCATTTAAGAGCACATTGGTTTTCGAATGTTTTACATTAGGTATTGTAAATTTAATACATTTTGTCTTATTGCCGTTTAAGAGCAAATTGTTAGCCTTAAACCAATGTACTAGTTTCGATCGAGTATTATTTACATCGTCATATTTAATTGACTGCCGTTTCAGTTTGAAAATTAAAGAGGTATCGTCAGCAAATAATACTATATCGTGATTGTCCCCTACAAGATAAGGTAAGTCATTAATATAGATTAAGAACAGGAATGGGCCAAGAATCGAGCCCTGAGGAACGCCCATTGATACTACTGATCCGGAGGAACATTTACCATTAATGACGACTTTTTGAGTTCTGTTACTTAAATATGAAGTAATAAGTTTAAGCGCCAAATTTTTTACACCGTAATGTTGTAGTTTCCTGATTAATGTATCATGATGAACACAATCGAAAGCCTTGGAAAGGTCACAAAAAATACCTAAGGCATCTTGTGAATTCTCCCAGGCATTAAAAATATATTTCATAAGCTCAACACCGGCGTCAGACGTCGAGCGACCCCTTGTAAAACCAAATTGATTTTTATGAAGTAATTTATTTGTATTAAAAAAAATTAACAATTGATCCAAAATTATTTTTTCAAAAATTTTACTGAGAGTTGGTAGTACAGAAATAGGTCTATAATTAGCGGGGTCCAATGTACTACCAGATTTAAATAAAGGTATTACTTTACTATACTTCATTAAATCAGGAAACACACCAGAATCGATACAAGTATTAAAAATAATAGCAAGATGAGGTGCAATTAAATCTATTATGGACGCAATCACTGTAACGGAAATCTCCCACAAATCTGCGGTTTTCTTTACATCAATGGTTTTGAAGTATTTTACAATATTATGCGGTAATACTTTTTCAAATCTAAATTCTTTTAAACAGGTATTAACATTCTGTTTAAGTAATGATTCGGCGACAGTTAGAGAAGCATTCAATGACTCTGTTGTCAAGATAGGAACATCAGTGAAATATTTCTCAAACACCGCTGCAACTTCTTGATTTGATTTAGTCAATTCATTATTAATTTTTAATTGATAGTTTGAATTACGAGGTTTCTCTTTACCGGTTTCGCTGTTAATTATACTCCACGTCATTTTAATTTTATTCTTAGCTGTCTTAATTTTGTTACTAATATGTAATGATTTGGCTGTGGAGCAAACTCTTTTAAACATTTTAGAATAATTTTTTACATATTCTTTAAAAGCATCGGAAAGATTATACGATCTTTCATGGTAAAGGTCATATAACCTTCGTCTGCTTTTATGAATTCCTACTGTCGCCCACTCATTAAATGCCTTGCGACTGTTTCTGGAGAACGACGAAACATTTAAGAAGCAATTTGCGCTGATATTCTTATAAAGCGTGGTCCTTCCCTTTCGAGATACAGCTGTATATTATACTACAGCATTACGCTACCGAAACAAATACTTCAAAAGCAATTACTATTAATTTTAGTTACCAGTGATATTATGTGGATATGAGATGTGATCTTCCACTGATTTCGTAATAATTATCCGCAGTAGAATCAGAGTAACCTTTAAAGGACTTCGGATCAGTACGCTAAAATAGTATATTTATTATTTTGTATTTTATAATTTATGTATTTTTTCTGGGTACCTATCACAGTTGGCAGCGGTAGTCACTTATCATCAGGTGAGGCACATACTCGTTTGCCAATTTTTATAAAAAAATAAAAGAGTTGTTGAGTTATTATTATAGGGTTTGAATGTGTAACTTTTTTGGCGTATCACATACTGCATTCAAGGGTACCTCTTTAAAATCTAAGAGATCGTTTACTTGAATTAGAAAACATCACTTGAAAGGAAGTGAAATTCTTCAAAACTAAAATCTCTCCCACGGCATATGTTATAGTAATCGTCAAGGAAGTCAATGTGATAGTTATTTAAAACAATGCTATAACTATTTTTACATTTTTATTAAAACCAGTACGAGTATATTTAAAAAATACCTTATTCTTACTATAACTGTTCTGTAAAATGTAAGCATTTAACTTCGAAGTTCGTCATCGTCGTCGACCGTTAATCGCCACGTGAAATTGAAAATAATTTTTTTTGGTTCTGGTGGGGATTGAATTTAGATTGTTAGCGTGCTGTGAAATTTATACATATAAATAAAGTTGAAGTGTCTATCTGTAACACTTAAATAAGTGACTTCAATACAGCTCTGGGTTTTATTTGCACGCTATTAAAACAAAACTTGCCATTTTTAACATTTTTGTCTGTCTGTCTGTTTGGGCTAATCTTCGGAATGGCTAAGTCGATTGTGATAAAACTTGACGAACAAATAGAAAATAGTTCCAGGAGGGATTTACGCTGTGTATATTTTATCCGAAAATTTGGTTTTTTTTTGAGTAATCGATTAATAGTTGAAAAATTATTTCGATATTTCACACAGACTTTTTAATACGTATACACAGATTTCTATATATAATTCTGTTTATAACAAAGGAGTGCTCAATGCAACTAGGTGTATATTTACTGAACATCATCGTTATGGTTAAATCCGCAACACCATGCCGAGTGCGGACTGTTTAATTTGGCACGTCATTGGTTGTATACTATAAGGCTTAATAAAAATATTTTACGGTATTTTTTACGGATTTGATCGTTTATTTTACAACCCGTTATAAAATCCGCAAAATTAGTTCCATCGCATTATTATGTTTAAGTTATTATTTCACATTTTTTAGTGTTTTCTGTACAAACAAATCTAACTCTAATCTATTCTATTGATTTTCTACATCGCATTTTGAACCAGTGTCCGCCTTGCATGGTAACGTTGAAAGTACCCGTGGAGAGTTTCGCTGGTATGCAGGTCTTCTCGCAAGGTGATAACTCCATGTGTAGGAGAAGCTGATACAGCATTATCTTCACCTCGCATAACGCAAACCTTGAACCTATTAAAAACAATACACTTCTATCAAACTAGCAGTGAAAAGTCAGAATGGGGAGTTTTCGATAAATATGCATTTTATTGAAAAGAGTGATTAACGAGCACATAGTCCACATTAGTACAAGGATGCTGTGGCCCACAGTCATCTACATTTCTCCTCAATTAAGAATAAAAAAAAAAGATACGTTGACACCCCTGAGGACTAAGATGGAATGCCTCATTTCCAATAAAAGCGATCTCCAGTTCTCTACAATCACTATAAGAGACGCAACAATTATAAGCTGCTATTTAATTCTGTGAGAGCGTGGTCCTTATCCAGTCGAGTTGAAACAGTGGTGCTTTAATATAGCAACAACAGGGCAGTAGAGTCAAAGTTACTTTACGTCTGATAATATACAGACAAGTAACGGCCTCTCTTGCGTGCTGATTGAGACAAATTCGCTACCGTGAGAGAATAAAAACAGAAGTTGTGTCTGCACAGATGTTAGCTTAGATTGCTATTCGACCACAGGACCCATGGCGTGGCAAATACTGGAAATTATGGTGATAGTACTCGATAAATTACCTTTCTTAATTTCTACATACTCACCTAAGACATGGGTATGGCTCAGACTATACTCTCGAAACCTTTACCAGTTTTCGCTAGGATATTTCATGAGCTTTGAGTCACAAATCCTCAGATGTAAGCCTCTTAGATAGTGCACAATGGGCTGGCATATCTCTAAAGATAAAAGCCTCAAAAAAGTAGAAAAAAAAACACTCACCTATACAATTCCTAGGGCCAAGACCAAATGGAAGATAGGTAAACGGTTTGATAAGGTGTTTGTTCTCTTCGGAGAATCGCTCCGGATCGAATTTCTCCGGGTCTGGGTAGTATTTAGGATCGTGGTGAATCGCCCACACGGGAATCATAACCGATTCACCTTTATGAACCTGAACAAAATTTGTTCTAAGTTAATAATGGATTATTTAAAATAATTAAATGGGCATTGCCATCAAATCTGGTTGATATAGTAATTTGCTTGATTTTTTAATTGAAAAATAATATGTTAAAATCAGTAATAACGATAATTGCAATAAAATTTCTTAATGAAATAATATTTTAAAATTTATATTTTAATGTTAGCCATGTAGATGATGCTTAAGATGATCCACTACCATTTGAACAACTTTGAATGAATGAATGAATGAATATACTTTATTGTACACCACAAACAAATAAACAAATTACATAACAATAGACAGGTTAAATGAACAATTTGGCGGCCTTATCGCTATATAGCGATCTCTTCCAGGCAACCAAGGGTGTAAAGGAATAAACAATGAATACTGGGTAGGTGGTGCAATATAATTATACAAAATATAATATCAATACATGCGATATATAGACAATAAATGCAATAAAATAACATAACTTTTTGGGTGGTCTACGCGTATTTGTTAAAGCGGTATGTGATTAAGAAATATTTTGGTGTTATCATATATTGTACCTGATTCAATAGTATATACGAATTTCTCGTTATGCAGAAAATAATGTAGTATACATTTAACTTAATGTAACAATACAGTTACTTACTATGTAATCTTGCGTGGCTTGTTTGTGTGGTTTTTCTAAGTTGTAATCTTTGGTACAAAGTCTATCCAATGCAACAGCTGGAGGCCACATTCGAAGCACCTCTGAAAGTTGACAGAATTTCTTATGTTAGTTATCCTCACTGTTGAAGTTATACATTTGTTTGTGTAACATAAATGAACATAAACAATGAACATATTGAAAACTATGAATGACTATAATAGTAATTAGGGAATATGTAAAAATATATTCTTATATATTTAAAAGAGTGTACAGCCAAGTATTTGCATTTGAGCAACAAAATTAAGACGGCTTCTAATAAAATTTAATTGATGTGGAGTATAATTAATAGCGAGTCTGGTAAGATCAGCTCTCGCAATTCAAACTACCAGTAGTGTTAACAAAAAATTAACTAAATCAGATCAGGACGTTGCAATGGTTTTTGAGAAATATTTTACTAATATTTCGATCTTAACTACTGAACTCTTCTCGTACCGTCGCCGAATCATTACTTAAACAAAATGTAAATGCGTGTACATATAATTTTACATTTCATAAAATGTCATCAAAAGATATTGTAAAATATTTTAAAATTATTGATGTTAAGAAAACTGCGGATCTGTGGGGGATTTCCGTTAAAGTTATTGCGTCTATAATAGATACATTAGCGCCTCATCTAGTTATTATTTTTAATACTAGTGTTGCGCGCCACTATTAATGTCTTGTACATGGCAACACTAGTTACCACTAGCGCCCTCTAGTATCGAGTAACAGAACTAGGAGAGTCAAGATCCTTCTAGAAATTTTGGGACCGATATGTATTGGAACATACTAGATATTTCTACAGTAGAAGGTTCTGGAAACTATCTAAAGCCCTATATAAGGCCGGTATAGACCACGACCATGTCAGTATTGAATTGGCGATATAAGCGAATACTTCGAAGCGAAATTACTGCGAACTAAAGTGTACTGATCACTTGCAATTGTGTTTTATTATTAGTGTGGTTTTAAATTGTAATTAGTGTTCTGTAATTAAAATGTCAATTTTGGTAATTCAATTGGCAGTTTTAATTGTCTCGAACCCCAAGCTCATAACAATTGGTGTCAAAAGTGGGATCAAATATGCCGATTTTACCTAAAGGCGACACGGAGGGTATCGGTATACGAAACACAGCAGCGTTAAGCTGCTATTTTACGCTGGTATTCTGTGAGAGCGTGGTCCTTTCCCGGTCGAGCCGACTCATTCGTTTTACAACTATACTATTAGTATAGGTGCAGCATGGTTCTACCACGTACAAATGTAATTAATAAGATAAGCATGTAGTTACTTTCATAGCGTAATTTCTTATGGAATCTTACTATGGGATAATGCGACTGACATTGAAGTCATATTTGTTTGCAAAAGACATACGGATGATTTATAACTTAAATTGTAAAGAGTCCCTTAGAGACAAATTTTAAGGAAATAAACATATTAACTTAGCATCGAAACATATTTATGAAAATGTAATGTACATAAAAACATAAATAGCTTTCATAAGAAAAAAATATGTTCATTTTTAAACACTAGGAACAAACATATGCTTGTAATACCAGTTTTTAGACTTTATAGAATTAGTAATTAATTTATGGGTAGGCAATATATACGCTTTTACAACAAACGCCTGGGTGTTATTCCAGACTATATTTTATCTATAGATATTACGAATAGTATAAAATTCAGTTTAAGATTGAAAATTGTAAGTTTTTTTTCTTCAAAAAGCATTAATTTCAAACAAAGATATATTTATAATGGATCTAAATTTAATAAGTACATTGACCTCTATATGCTGACCCATTTCTATATTATTGTGAAATCACACGTTTACCTGTAAAACACTGTCATATCCTATTACAGCGTCTGGCTGGCGCCAATAGCGTTTTCGGCTTACAACGCAACGTTGATTTGACATCGCATGTAAACATTTATGTTAAGTGTTTTTCACATATGAGCATTTAATGTTAATAAGTAAAAATATTCCTTACAAATAACATTAATACGGGTCAATGCTAAAGTTACCAAATGAAATATTTCTTGATTTTATTTCTTGATAGTAGGGATAGCGCTATAATGTAGGGTATAAAATATAACGTTGGGAGGTGTTTAACCATTAGTTGCATCGTGTTTTCCACAGTCTACTAGACCTGGAAGTGTTCAGCATTATCACCGAGACAGCAAGTATGTACGTAACACTTAGTCTCCCTAGTAAGTGTAGGAAGCGAGTCGGAATCTGAGGCTGATAAATCATTATCACTCACCCCAGCTTCGACCAGCAGGAAACGTAAATCAAAAGTTTTACCAGATTCTGAGGTAAGCAAATCTTATTTAATTTTAATAGTTTGAGTTACCATTCACATGATGAAAAATCAGTTTCTATTTGATTGAATGTTGTGAATAAATTATCTGTCATAGGTTAATTTTTTTTTAAAACGTATTTAATTTTATTATTAGACGATCGATGTGATTGATACAATTGTTAGTGAATTGGACTACTAAGTCATGTTATGAGCATCGTATAAAAATATATTTATGCGGGGTAGGAGAGAATATAAATATTGTTCATTGCTTATCAGTATGCTTTTGTTTAAATAGTATTTTTTTTGTTTCCGGGATGAAGATTCTGAACATATCCGAGCGAGGATTTTAAAAAGCTACTTATCATTTCGAACAGGTTTGGGATATATGCACCGGAACGAGCCTTCGAAGCGAGGAGAATATTACATCGAAGTGCGCATCTCTAACTTCCGCAAGTTGGAGGCTATTCCATCAACCGACCCGCTGGCAGAACTCTCTGATCAGCTTTGAATCAGCGGTCGGTGAGAAAACCCCAACGTGGAAGGCTGTTACCCAGTTGGCATCATGTATCAAAGAAGATTATCACAACATTCTTCCAGTTTTGAATCCAACTAAGTTTAATCAGTGTTACTTATCTATGTGTTGTTGCTTTCAGTTAAAATTGAAATAGAAAACTAAAACATTTAAATTCAAATTCAGATAAAATCGAAAATCGAAATAATAAACCATAATAAAATAATAAAATAAAGAAATTCTAAATCTGAACTATACTTCATTATAATAAACTGAGTTTAATAGTTTAATCAGTGTTACTTATCTATGTGTTCTTGCTTTCAGTTAAAATCGAAATAAAACTAAAAACATTTAAATTCAAATTCAGATAAAATCGAAAATCGAAATAAAAGCCGTAAATAAAATAATAAAATAAAGAAATTCTAAATATGAACTATATCAGCCGCTTATTGCTTGATATTAAACGACTGTATATTCGAATACAATTGAGGGAGGGTGGGAGACGCTCTTCAATCCAGTTAAGACACATCATTTTATTTAGTTAGCGGATGGATGCAAATTAATTAATATCTTTATTATAATGGATTTACGATGTTAGGTTTTGGGTCTTAGGTTTTGTTTTTCGTTACGGAATTTCTTAATTCAGTCGCCGCGCTCAAAGCCCTCGATAAAAGCTATGCAAAAGCTTAAAAACGTTTATTAGCACTAACCACAATGAAATTAGGCTAAGCAAGTTGTATTATCAGAAATTAATAATATAGATGCGGCAATATCATCAGTATCTCGCAAACGCTCTAAATATAATGCTCAATAACTCAACTGGAAGTGGAAGTAAACTTGTTCCCGCAGGATAGAACTGTGAGTATGTAGACGTTAATTTGTTGATACTAAAACTTTGCACCTATACTGGAGAGAATTGGGGTCTTCAGCGGCAAGTAGCTCGAGCGATGCGAGAGCAAGTGACGCAGAAGCCCCAATTCACGCCTACTTATGGGTCACAGCAACCACTTACCATCTGGTGGACTGTGTGCTCGTCTGTCACCCTTATCCTATAAAAAAAAGAAAAAAAGCTTACAACAAAAAATCATATGCCAACTGTGTTACTATCGTAAAAAGCAACTAATGAGATATAGTGGTATCATACGTGGTAGAGCCATGCTGCAGCTATATTATGGTTGTAGCACGAATGAGTCGGCTCGACCGGGGAAGGACCACGCTCTCACAGAAAACCAGCGTAAAATAGCAGCTTAACGCTGCTGTGTTTCGTATGGTGAGTGTAGAGAACCGGAGACCCTTTTTACTGGCAAAGAGGCATTCCATCTTAGTCCTCACGGGTGACAACGCATCTGCATCTTGAGTCTTTATTGAGGATAGATGTAGATGTCTATGGCTCACAGTAACCACTTACCATCAGGTGGACTGTGTGCTCGTTTGTCACCCGATACTATAAAAAAAATATTAGGATTGTGGTTGTGTAGGCGATGGGTTATCCTATCACTTATTTTACATTCCATCTATTGTCAACTGTTTTTTTTTTTGTTAAACCTCTGAGTAGCGTACTGCGTTTTGGAGTCTGCCTACCAATTCGGAGATTAAAGGCGTGACGATAATATTCTCTTTATAATGAAAATAATATTTCAGAAATGAAATATTCATAGTTACACATAAAATACATAAACAACAAATGCTATAAGAACATATTTATCATAAAAAAGATAAAGTTTTTGACCACGAATGTGTAAAGTTCCAAAATAAAACTGATGGTGCTATAAATAGTGATAAGATCTTTAAGGAGTAATAAAACGATACTGATACCTACCTCCTACCTTAGACTACTCTCATTAGCCACTTCTAACACAGGCGTATATAGCTTATTTGAAGTAGTTGATGGGAATATTAGTAATGTTAAAGGCATTGCTAGTATTAAAAAATATGTAAAAAATAAGTGTACGTCACAATATTTCAATATACCTGAAACAACCATGTCCAAATAGTTCAGATTCTGTATGGAATTGTAATTTAAAGATCCACGGTTTTTTTCGTTATCTTCCTTGATCTCTTCGTACAAACGCTGCTGGACTTCGGGGTGCATAGCTATTTCGTGAAGCGCGAAGGACATAGCAGAAGAAATAGTATCAAAACCGGCAATAAAGAACAACACTGCCTGAGCCACTATGTCGTTTTCAGTCCATACTAAAAGGTTAGTCATTCAAAATTAGCAACACAATAATATAGTATAATATATTACTAGCATAGAGCAACACGGATCACCGGCGGACTGGACGGGAGTAACCATAACGTTTTTTTTTTCAGTATAAAACTGTCTGTCATTTTTTGCGGAGGAAATCTGCTCACTTGAAAATAATCATTTGTCATCACGAAACTCACACATAACAATTAATACAAATAAATAACAATATCACACATAGATATATACATTACAATAGTATCACCTGGTGACAAAGCCTAACAGGATACAGAATCGGATCAGTCGCTCGACCGATCCGCATATTGTATGAGGCCGAACGGCCTGTATTGGTTAACAAATCCGAAATAACACGACCGTTATTATTGTAATTATTATGTTTAAAAAGATGTAAATATCAATATTATGATTTACAGTTAATTATATTTGAGCGGTAAATACTATTGTATGCTGAAATATCTACACATTACTTTCCTGGATTAGGTGGGTAAAAAGGAAGATGAAGCTCTAGAAGTAAGAGGATTTTGTTTAAAGGGTTTCAAAGTAAAAAAAAAATACTTTGAAAAAAAAAACACCAATTAAAATCAAGCATTGTATTAGAGATGATAATATTTACCACGATATATGTTCTTTTTTCCTACAGAAGATTCTTCGACAGTTGCGAATCCAGCATCCATATCGATAGCACCTTTGTCTTCATGAGTTAATCGACCTTGGAATAAAATTGAATAAAGTAGTTTTAATTCAGTATATACTGTAAATATTGAAGATACTCGAGAAGTTTACTCGATACTTCCGCTAAGGATTAAGTAATGGTAAAACATCTGTTGAGACAGAAAATAGTGGAAATACAAAGAAGAGACTTAGAATTTCCCTATTTTTTAAAAATATAATAAATTAAGACTTATGATTTATAAAGTAGTATATTTCAGACAATTGGTCCTATTAATAGGATCTATGTATATTTATATCATCATCATCATCATTACAGCCTTTCATAAGTCCACTGCTGAACATAGACCTCCCCCAAAGTGGGGTATTTGCCATAGTTGCCACGCTTGGCGAGCGAGTTGGCAACCGCAGTTTTTTATTGCAAGTTTGTTGTTATCAGGAAGATTCTGCTGCCCATATCCTGCCTGTTTCCCTTTGTCGCCTTTAACGACACCCACGGGAAGATATAAGGTAGTGGATATTCTTAACCGCCACTACATGACCTTAACCGCCACTACACTATATCTATATATAAAACTCTAACACGATGTCCGTCTGAACACGCATCACGCAAAACCCTGTGAATCAATTTGGATAAGACTTTCACTGGCAGATATCTGATGTTATAAAGAGTAACTTTGGCTACTCTCAAAAAATATATTCAACTGAGGTGGAAAATATGAATCACTGTTATGAGACTGATATAGAGTGTCTAAATTCAACAATTTTATCACTTAAAAACTCCCTACAAATTGTATCAAATAAATATGCATCGACTCAAGATGAGATAAAAGAACACATATGGGCAATGAATGATCTGGTAAAATCATGTAAATATAATGAGGAGCGCTTTTACTCCTTAATAAAACATAGGAGTGAGTATCAGCGCTCCATACCAGGTTCGTCGTGTGTAAATAACAAAGTAAACAGTAAGGACTCATTGTTTTCACCTACACTCTATGGCAGTGCCGTGACAAAGGATATAAACTTAAAAAGCAATGTAAATAATAAAAAAAAGTTATTATGTATTGTGATGACATAGGAAAAAATTTGGGCATGATGTTTAATAACTCTGATCAGTAATTATTGCATGCCTGGAGCATCCTTTAGTTATATAATGAATAAAGATTTAGCTAGTAAACTTTGCCCTAATAGCACATTAATAATTCTTGTTTGGAGAAGATGCAATGTAAGCAAAAATCTATTATTGAAATATATTGATAATCTAAATATTTTAAATGTACATAAAATTATCTTGTTTACATTGCCTTACATACAGGCTTGACCACAGAAAAATAAAATAAGGTATGATTTAAGTTTATCAATGAATAACTTTTCATGTAATAATAATTTAAACTTGACATTGAGTTGTTATAATTATAATAAAATAATTAATTTAATAGACAAAAATAATTTAATTAAGAAATTTTGGCTCGTGATAGGTATTACCTATCTAAGTATAATTTAAGACAGATAGCAAATGTGCTATCTTATTGTTTATATATTAACTCAACCAAGGACTTGGCTACACAGAAATATGCTTCTTTTGAGCAGTATAATGACTTAATATATAATTTTGAATCCGTTCCAAGTAATTTAAATTAGAAAATGAGACAATAGAGGTAATCTCTAGCAGTTAAAATAATTTAAATAATTTAGAATGCAGCTTACAAATCTTTAATTGTATGACTCCACAGAAAGATAATGAAAATTGTTTACACCTGGTGCATCAACATATACAAGGCATGATAGGCAAAGGGCTAGAAATTGAGTTTTTCTTAAATAGCAACAATATTCATATTTTATGTATTACTGAACATTGGTTAAAAGCTTATAACTTAATGTTTAATTTCAGTTATCACCGTGTGGTCAGTTATTTCAATACAGAAACGGTTTTAAGAGGTGGCTCCTTAATATTAGCTAGTAAATTATTATCATGTAAAGACCGTAAAGATATTGTGAGCCTCTCTGTTGAGCGAACTATAGAAATGGCATGTGTTGAGTTTGAGCACCTCATTGTTGTGAGCGTCTACAGACCTCCATGTTCCATATACGATACTTTTGAAAAAATTATGGAAGAAGTTTTTGCTAAGCTTAATAAACAGAATAAATCTGTTGTAATATGTGGATACTTTAATATCAATCTCCTAGAAGCTTCCTCCATCAATATTAAATTTAGATCATTGTTTAAATCATATGGTCTTTTAAATTTATTTTTAGAGCCAACGCGTATTGCTCAATCTAGTGCAACATTGTAATATAGATAACATTTTTACAAATGTGAAGCCGTTGGATAAATGTATAATACAAAAATTAAGTTCTGATCACTGTGGACAAGTAGTTTCGTTACCTTATGTTCACAAAAAGCAAGTAGATGCAAAAGTTGTGTTTGTTCCAGTAAATGCACGTCGCTTGGAGAATTTTACATGTAACATAGTGAAAAAACTTCCATCACTTTCATACCAAATTTTGTTTTTGATCATATTTTTCGTATGGAACTTACTACTTTTATTTGTAATAAATTTAATAATACTTTTACTTCTACAACATTCTCCTTGAACAGTCGGAAGTCAATCAATGAATGGGCAACAGTAGGAGTACATAAGAACAGACATAGGTTATATGATCTTTACCATAAAATGTCATATAATCATAGCGTCCAATTTAGGGAATATGTAAAAAATATTCAAAAATATTTAAAAGACTGTGCTTTGCAGACACAGCCAAGTCTTTGCATTTAAGACAAAATTATGACGGCTTCTAATATAATTAAAATGACATGGAGTATAATTAATAGCTCAACTGGTAAGATCAACTCTCGCCATTTAAACTACCAGTTAAGTGTTAATAACAAATTAACCGAATCAGATCAGGACGTTGCAATGGTTTTTGAGAAATATTTTACTGATATTCCGATATTAACTACTAAGTCACTGAATTCTTCTCCTGCGGTCGCCGAATCATTACTTAAACAAAATGTGAATGCGTAAACAAAGGATTTTACATTTCATAAAGTATCATCAAAGGATATTGTAAAATATTTTAAAACTATTGATGTTAAGAAAACTGCGGATCTGTTGGGGATTTCCGTTAAAGTTATTGCGCTTATAATAGATAAAATCGCGCCTCATGTAGCTATTATTTTTAATACTAGTATCGAATCTGGTATGTTTCCTGATTTATTGAAGCATAGTAAAGTAATACCTTTATTATAATCTGGTAGTACATTAGACCCCCCAATTTTAGACCTATTTCTGTACTACTAACACTTAGTAAGATTTTCAAAAATATTATTCTTGATCAAATGTTAAATTTCTTTAATATAAATAATTTACTTCATAAAAACCAGTTTGGTTTCACAAGGGGTCGCTCGACAACTGATTCCGGTGTTGAGCTGATTAAATATATCTTTAATGCATGGGAGAATTTAAAGGATACTTTGGGTATATTTTGTGACCTATCCAAGGCCTTTTATTGTGTTCACCATGAAATATTAATCAGGAAACTTCAACACTACGGTGTAAGAAGTGATGCTCTTAATTTAATTATTTCATACTTAAGTAAGAGAACGCAAAAAGCTGTGATTAACAATATAAGATCTTCCGGATCAATGGTACAAATGGGCGTTCCTCAAGGCTCAATTCTCGGCCCTTACCTTACATAGTAGGGGATAACCATGATATAGTATTATTTGCAGATGACACTTCTTTAATTTTAAAATTTAGTCGACAATCACTAAAATATGACGAAGTAAATAATGCTATATCTACATACATACATGAATATAATCACGCCTCTTTCCCGTAGGGGTAGGCAGAGACCACTTCTTTCCACTTGCTACGATCCTTACATACTTGTTTCGCTTCGTCCACTTTCATTATTCTTTTCATACATGCTCTACGGTTTAGGGTGCTCTTGACCTGGCCATTTTTCAAGACTTCCCTGATTTGGTCTTAAAATGTCCGCCTAGGTCTACCCTTCCAGCACTTTCATCCACACTCACCTTATACACTTTTTTCGTCAATCGTTCTTCATTCATTCTCTCGACATGACCAAACCATCTCAGCATACCTATCTCACTTTTTGTCACTATATCTTCTTTCAGACCAAAACGTTTCCGTATCTCACTATTTCTTATCCTGTTACTCAGTTTAACTCCTATCATACTTCTTAACGCTCTCATCTCAACTGCATTTATTCTGCTTTAATGTTTCTTCTGCCATACCCAACTTTCACTTCCGTACATGAGTGTCGAAACCAACACCCCCTCATGTACAGCCAAACGAGCCTTGTAAGACACCTTCCAACTACTCATAAAGGAGTGCAAAGCTCCATCCACCATGTTTCCTGCATTCACTCTTCTTCCGATATCACTCTCACACTTTCCATCTCTTGTAAACTTTGAACCCAGATACACAAACTCTTTCACCTGTTCAATTTGTTTATCTTCAATCACGATATTGCAGTCTGTCACTGCCTCATCTCTTTCAAACACCATCACTTTCGTCTTCCTTACATTCATATTCATTACCTTCCTAACAAAAGCTCCACTCATAGTAGTTACCATCTCCTGCAACTCCTCGGCCTAACACGCAAATAATACTTGGTCATCAGAATAGAGAAGACAATTGACGAGTAACTCATTCATTCTCAACCCGCTTTCATTCTCTTTTAAATCTGTCAGGCAATTGTCCATGAACAGATTAAACAGCCATTGTGACGCTACACATCCCTGTCTAACACCTTTTTCGATATTAAACCATTCAGTGTATACCCCGTTTATCCTAACATAAGGATACTGCTCACACCGTCCACGGACAGTGCTGACCACAATTCATTCCTCACCACTCTATCATAGGCTTTTTCTAAGTCCACGAATGCGCAATAAACTTTCTTGTTATTAGCCAAACACTTTTCGGCTATGCACCGCAAGGAAAAAACCTGATCCGTACATCCCATTCCCTTTCTAAATCCTGCTTGTGCATCCCATACTTTTTCATCTGTTTCATTCACATTTTTTTCAATCAACACTTTCGCATGCAATTTACCGACGACGCTGAGAAGGCTTATACTGCGGTAATTTATGCAGTCCTGCCGTGAAACTTTTCCCTTATACGTCTTATACGTCTCCTGGTACTTGCCCATTTCGCCAGCACAATTTGAAAAGGCGGTATAGCTGACTAGCCACTATGCCCTGTCCAGCCCTCAGCATTTCGACGGTAATCCTGTCATACCCTGCAGCCTTACCTACTCTTATACTATTCAGCGCTTTCACTATTTCATCCATGCTTATCTCACTTTCATCAACATTTATATTAGTTTCTATGGAAGGTGCTGAATGCTGAACCTGCACTTCCTCTCTTTCAAACAAGCTTTCAAAATACTCTTTTCATCTCTTTAATACACATTCTTCTCCTTTTATAATGCAGCCATCTTGACTCCTGATTGTACTCAGCTTCGAGGTAGAAGTTTTTCCTTTGGCCGTTTTGATGGATTTCCAGAAAAACTTAAGTTTTGACTGGAAACCTTCAGTGAGCTTCCTATCGAAATCATCCATTCTTTCTTCTTTCTTTCTAAAAATAACTTCTTTCGCTGCTGTTTTCAATCTTTTATATTTCGTTCTTGCATCCTTTATCTCGTCATCCGTTGCCTTTTGAACTTTTTGGTTAGCTTTTGTTGCTAACCACGCTTTCTTCTTTACTTGCACAACCCTTTGTACATCTTCATCCATCCACACGTTATAGTTCTTTCTTTCTTTTAGCTACCCCGCATACTTCAATAGCAACATTCACGACCCCTTTCTTAAATGTTTCCCACAAATATTCAATCACACCTATCTCTTCTATGCCTTTAAAACTTTCTTTCAGTTTCTGTACATACTCATATTTCTTTTCTTTTTCTTGTAGATTTTACACTTTTACTCTGTCCAGAACACTCGTAGGCTCGGCCCCTCAGTGTCGCCCTCGTTTATAGAGGCCACGCACTCGGGCTTTGACCATGTAGTGGTCTGTGTCCAGGCCTATACCAGGTTATGCCCGAGTGTCTAGCACTTTCTTCCTTAGTCTTTCATCCACAATTACAAAATCAATTTTACTTTAGCTATTTCCATAGCACAATGTTGTATGGAATTGTGCTATGGGGACACGCAGCTGACACTTAAATTGTATTTGTTTTACAGAAGAGGGCCATAAGAGCAATTTATGATTTAAAGCCTAAAGTGTCGCTGCGACAAAAATTTAAGGATATTAATATATTAACTTTGGCCTCTCAATACATTCATGAAAATGTAATGTACGCACACAAAAATAAATGCTGTTTTACAAAAATAAGTGGTTTTTATTCTGTAAATACTAGGAACAAACACAAGCTAGTAGTACCGATTAATCGACTCCATTGTGCCACTTATTCATTCTTGGGGCAGTGTATATGCTTTTACAACAAAATTCCAGAAAATATACAAAATTTGACCTGCTCAAAGTTCAAAAACTTTATTTAACTTAGTTTGTATAAAAAGGGTTATTATAATATTAAAGAATTCATGGATGATAACGACCCCTGGAAATGAGGTGATCGCAAACAAGCTATTTCAAATTTGTTGTGTTGTTAATTTGTGTAACATACATGATTGTAAGCTGTTATTTTAAAAATGGTCCCGCTGGGTTTCTTGCTGGTTCTTCCCAGGACAGAGGTTTTATTTTTCGAACCAGTGGTAATTAAACAAAAGAGTGATTTCAATAAGTATTATTTATAATCTATATTGAATAAAAAAGTTTCTGTTTCTGTTTCTCATTTTCGTAAAATAGTTAGGGTTCTACGAAAAAAAAAACCCATGAAAACCAATCGCAATAAATTCCACGCGGGCGAAGTCATGGGATACAGCTAGTAATATTATAAAGTTAAAGAGTTTGTTTAGATGTTTGTATGTTTGTAGCTCAATCACGCAAAAACCGCAAAACGGAATTTAATTTAACTTGGCAGTATTATTTATAGCAAACCATATTAGGGAACATGCTGTTTTTTTTTTTTTTGCAAAAAAAGTTTTCGTCTATCCCAAATAACAGTTTCTTGATGGTAAAAAACGGTGTAAAAATTGACCAGTTAAATTTTATTTCATTACGAGTATCCATAATATAATTGAGTAGAATTGAGCTTCTTACGAGTATCGTAAAAACAGTCCGGGTTTAGGCCAAATAGGCTCCCAATCGCCTTAGACTTAGCGAATCGCTCGATGTTGTTAGGTGTCACGCGCATCGCGGGGAGGGGGCATCGGTATGCAGCTTCCCAGCGTTTGGCGCTCGTGGGTGAAAATATTAGCTTGAGAGCAGCGGTGCGGTCAATTAGCGTATTTTGGTTACCACTGCATATATTTCGCGCGACCAGTTTTTTGGGTTTATGGTCTAGATTTTTAGTATTTGTGCGCGTTACTTCGCTAGTGAATTGTGGTTTCGTGAAGACCGCCTCGGTTTAGTTTGTCTAAGTTGTACGTTCGTGACAAGAGGCTTATTTTGAATTTGAGTGATTAGAGTAATGTTGTTGCAATTGTACCGTCGCGTTAGGAGCCTTTTGTGTTGACTCTTTAGTTACTTTGCGTGTCAGCTAGGTTGATTTTGAATTCTTATTGCGGCTTAGTATTTAATATAGTACGAAGGAATTTAGTTGTTGGTTGTAACGCTGAACTTTGTGACTCGTGAAGAGATAGCGTTAGTTCCCTATTTGTAATTTGGTGATAAATAAATCCGGAACCTTGAATCTTGAACTTTAAACTACTGTTCGTTACCTGTGTCGGGTATCACGTGTTTGATTTTACGATGAACGTTGAATAAGTTGAGTTGAAGTTAGTTAAATGTACAATAAAGTTGATAGACTGAAATGGTGACATGAAGAAAGAATTTGTCACTTGGTGACTCATCTGGGCTAGGTCACATAAATATACACACCACTAAACACCACTTTACATGTACCTACAACTACCTACGGCCTGACCGAGCCTTGGTGCGGTCTTAGCTTCGGATCCAGGTACGTACTATTTATTTACCTAGCCTTCTCCCTATTGTGTAGTATGATAGGTCAATTGTCCATAAGGCCATTTGGGCTCGAACCCTCGGCTGCCCGTCGAGGAGGCCACTATGGGCCCTAGCTAAGGCGACCTTTGCAGGGGCAGCTGGGGGCCGTAACAGTCCGCGATACAGTTACAGTAACAATGGGTCACAGATGTCACTTTTACCAGCAGTTGAGTTTGCTACTTAAATAATAAAAAAAGGGTTTTTGGCGTTGTCTTATAAAAATAAATCTTACCCTTGTTAGCCTCCATCAGAAGGTGAATCATGTCAGGTCTGACAATTTGCTTAGCTTCACGTTCGTTCATTGTATTAATCACCAAATTCCAGAAAAAATCTTTCGCCGATTTTTCGAACAGATATAGACGTAGGATCTATGAAAGAAATAAGTAAAATTATATTCAACGTCTATTTTATTGTTAGTTTTTCACAGGTCTTTTCTCATTTCTGAGACAGTTTTACCGCCAGGAATAGTCTGAAGAAGCCCCAAAAGCTATCCTGACCTAACACATGCTGGAGGACTTCGCATTTCATCAAAAAAAATTTTTAGATATTTATGCATTTATGAGTGAAAATCACACAATTTTATTTTGTTATCTTTTCCTTTAGTTTTTAATATGGCAACTTGTTTATTATTTATTGATATCTAAATATTCTTGCATTGTTGATGCATTGTAACATAGAATGTGAAATGTCGGTTTGAGGATTTAGGACAAAATTAACTGTCTGTCGCGGTGAAGTCGAAAGGATTGTCATATTTCACATAAACTGCCTTACAGAAGTTATCACGGAGACTTTTTTTAAAGGATACAGGTGAAACAAGCACGCAGTCCACCTGAAGGTACGTTGATGCTATGGCTCATACGAGTAGATAACTTTATGCTTGATTATGAATTAAAATGCAAATGTTGTTGTCAACTCAGTTTGCTACACTTAATAACGCTGGTATTTTGTGAGGGCGTTGTTATACCCATTCGTGCTACAACCGTAATACATATATATGTAGCACGCCACTGTAAGATCAAATCGTTATGGCGTTTCATATCTCCCAATTTACTAGTTGTTAGGTTTTGGAATAATATCTGCTATTGGCTTTGTTTTTATTAGAAACAATACTTATTTGGTATTACACAAATTTTAAAATAGTGTTCAATAAAATTATGGAGTCATACTGAAACACTATAAGTTTATATAACAATTTTTAAACCGGATAGTGCCATTTAAATACTTTTAATATATCATTTTAAATTTTAGCGTGAAAACGCTAGCCACCGTGCTATTCAGCTTGTGACGTCACTGTGCTAGTTAATAAAACTATTTTGCATAGGAATAGGATATTTATGGATAATTAATAATAAGTTATCAACTTTGTCGTTGGTGATTTTTTTTCCATGATTACATTATTTATTGATAACCCAAAGTTGGCTAGATGGAATTTTCTGCGGTAGCATACGACTGAAATGCAGAATTGTTCTTCGGTTCGACGGTGCAACCACATTAAAAATGCAACACCGTGATTGCAGCCACCTTCTAACGAGCGGCAATCGTGGCACTAGACACTAATCACAGTATCTTCCTGTTCATTCACACCAAGTGTAACTGCATATGGCTAAGAATGCACTTTGTATTCTAGGCATGTTGTGTACTTAACTATACATGTGCTTTGTAACCTCTGAGATTCAGATAGCTTATTGCGTCATCTCGGTAAGTTTCCCTTCCGAACCTGGAAACAAAAACTACGTTATGTGAGATTGTAATCATAGATAAACATAACTATGTATTATTTAAAGACACTCTGACCTCGTATTGGGGTGTTGTATATACAAAATTTAGTAATAGGTACTTACATTGGTGTTTTATTTACATTGTTTTAAAAATCCATGTCCAAAATGTATTTATCCTTGGTAGATTTTAGTACTTTTTGCTTTTACGAATCAGTCTTCCATGATATAATTTCAATAAAATACGGAATAAAGTCAACAACTGTGATGATAATTTCAAAAAAAATCGAAATAACACACAGCATATTAGCTTGTTTACTATCAAAGTGACGTCAAGATGAAATCTTATATGGCGGATAGCGTTTTGACATTTGAGGCACGGATTAAAAAATCTTAAAATTGAAATATATAGTTCACTAGCTGACCAGGCAGACTTAGTTCTGCCCTTTTCGACGACACTTCATATAAAAAATGGTTAAATTCGTAATAAAAAAAAAATATTACGTGTCACTTATCAGGATAAAAACTATCCTATCTCTGAAGTTCGACCAAACTGTACAGAGTGTGCAAATTTCATCGAAATCAGTTCAGTAGTTTAGAAGTTCATCACGGACAAACAACGTGACACGTAATTTTTATATATAAAGATAATGCATTTTTATGAATAGAAATCAACATTTCTCGTTTACTTTTTACAAAACGTATCTTAAACGCGTATTTTTTTACATGGTACAAAATACCCTATGGAATCTCTTACCTTAGTAACAGTAGGAAAATAAGTCATCGCAAAAATTTTTAGCAACTGCTTGAAATTGAAGGTTGCAGTAATTTTGCCCATCTTATAGAATAGGTTGCTTTTATCGCTAATTGAGTCTACTTTCAGTCCAAAAGCACAGGAAGCGATAACATCGTTTGCATATCTCGTCGTCAGATCCTTACCGTCCACGTCAATGTATTCACCTGTTAAATAAAAAAAATATTAGTTGTTATGAAATACGATATCCTCTTGACAATTTGAAATCAAGGTGAAGGTGATAATTTGGCGTTTAGCTTCCCAATAATTAGGATCAATTAAGGCAGATAGTTATTATAAAAATGCTAGTGCATTAGATCTAAAGAATTTTCAAGTGCTGCAAAAATGTAGAAAACGTACAATACCTGTGAACAAAACTGATTAGTAAAATATCTGAAATTAAAATCTAGGATCTCTGTAGGCTGGATCAGTTGACGAGTAGTTACTCGTTCTACCAGCCAATGTGGATATGATATTTAATTTTTAAAAGAAATAACGTTACCCGTTACCGTTAACGAAAATCATGGTGTGGGGGGAACACTATGATTTTGTCCTGTATCGTGGAGGCAGTTTATAAACATAAATTGCACGAGAACGAACAACTAGATCCCGAACAATTATTTGTAAGCCATACAAATACTTGTTCTGTGAGGGATTCCATCTCGCGTCCCCGGCGCAACAACTCATTGCTAAGCCAACTTGCGTATCATATCCTTTCTACTAGCTTCGTACATACATAGAAATGAAAGGGGTCTGTCAGGATTGTGTAACAATCCGTAGTTCTTGTCTACCCTTCTGGGTGATAGGTTATGAGAGCTTTTTTATGTTTATATATTTTGGCATAAAATGTTGTTATAAAATTCATTATCTGCAGTGATGACTTTTAGATAAGCCTACGTTCTGCATTTGAATTTGATGATAAATCTCCTGCTGTACACCACAAATTGCTATATAGTGTATTTCTAACCCAGAGCCACCTGCAACCGTTGATTTTCTGTATGTTTCTTAAAGACGAAATTGTAATTCTGAAAACGCTTCTGTAGACTTCATTCTTAGTTAAATTTTCATGTTCAAGTTACCATCACGTGGACTATGAGTTCCTTTATCACTTTATTTATTCAAACAATGTAAATAGCAAAGTAAGAAATTGTCTGCCAGCATCTATTTGAGTTTACATCGTGTGAGTCTTCTAAAAATACTTTTATCACGCTGATACAGTGGTAAAAAACATCAAACAGGGCTGACATTAGGTAAGACCGTTATCACGACGGCTTATAATAACTAAAAATGTGACTTTTACTTACCTGAGGAACTCTGAATTTCTTTCTTAAGTGATTTTATCATTTGTTCCCCAACTTCCACCATAAATGGAACCATAGAACGCATCTTAGAGCTCGTGAATGCAGGGCTTAGTGTCGATCGCATATCTTTCCATTCATCGCCTAATACAAATAAATTAACATTTACCTCATAGCTGCAATCTATCTTCTATATACTAATGGGTGAAGAGAAAACTTTGTACCATTTTTAAGCAAATTGCTCGCATAAAGGAGTGTGAGATTTGGCGTAGCTAAAGTTAATATCGACAAGGAGCGCAGAAAGCTAAAACATATGTATAATATTTGTTACAAATACTTTTAAAATCAAATAATTTACATTACACTGTTTATGTTGTTCATACTGCCAATTTTTTAGATTACGTAAAAAGTAAGTTATTACTTTAAGGCTATTTGTTAAACACTTAAAAGTCTCTGTTCAATCAATTTAAAATGGTCGCAAACAAAACGTTGTGATACATTTCGAGTTTGGATTTTCGAATATCCATTACTTAAAATATAAGGAGATTCACACGTTATTTCGAGCACTACTTAAAATTAAAAATTTAGAATTATTTCACTGATAAATAAACAGAATATCCAGTTTTATTAATTGCTTATGATAGATCATACTAATATTATGATGAAAGGTCAATAAGTAATTATAAATAACAATTGATTATCCTATTAAAATTACGATACCTTTCAATGAGAACAGGTTTCGTCCAAAGAAAGGATCAGCATTCTCGTTAACAAAAGAGTGATGGTCTAGAAAGTATTCGAAATCCTTCACCGTTATCTTCTTTATTAGTTCTATGTCTCTGATCATCACCATGGGATTCAGAAATTCAAACCTTCCTACAAACCTAGAAGAGAGAAAAATAAAATTGCTTTAAAGAATGATAGTAACCAATGTTTTTCCTGCTTTCTTTATTTTCATTGATGTATCAAATCTCTATTGACATTAGTATTTCTTGTTATTGAAAAAGTCTGTTATAATATTCATAACTGGCAGCTCAATTGGAGATTGCAATAAATATAGTGTTACGTATTCTGGGTGAGTAGATCCAGATACCTATTTTTCTGGCAACGATACATTCTGTCTTACTCCTCACGAATTATGTAGCATCATTTTATTTATAATCGAGAAAAGACATAGGTCTACAAGTAACGACATTTACTCAACATCAGAAAGGCCTAAATGCTTCTTTGACATTTTGTACGTACACTTACAGAAGGATGATGATTTGATGTGGTCTCGAATCATCATATTAGATTCGTGGAGTAGGGGGTTGGTAATCTTCCCTGTGACGAGCTAAGTTCACAATACAGCAGTAGTTGGGATCGGTAGTCGAGCATATGGAAACCCTGTGACCTCTTTGACATTAGGGGTTACCACCCTGGAGTTTAATTTGATATGAGTAGGCACTTTCTGCCTGATTGACATGAGCATATCTGGTTACTCCAAGATCACCTGCGGATTACCCCAGATAATAATTGCAAATATATGTCCTAACGTATCCGTTCCCGATGTAAATATTTAATATTAAATAAATATCTATAAAGTTCTTTTTTTATGAAACTTTAACAATTGACTAGCACGTTATGAAAGTTCTCAAGAGACACGACTTTTGACGATATCTCGTAATTGACGAATATCATCATAAGATTAAGACATAATATTATATTATAGAGGCAGAGAGAATTTTGTGAAATTGTGCATATGTGAAGGGTTATTGCCTAAACCACTGCAGCCATTTCAAAAATTCTTTCACCCTTTAAAAGATAAATCATTTCAGATGGGCACAGGTGAAATATGTATGTACATAAAACATTATAAGTATTAATATTAGTATAGATTACCTCTCTTCAGGAAAGGCATTGTAAAGTCTTTGCGTATCGTCTGAGAAATGGCTCATGCGTAGTAAAATACGAGCCATGTTACCAACAATTGGTATCGGCTTGAAATACTTGACTCCATATCTACTGAACCTGCTGTACAACTGACGGAAGTAGAGCACCACGGCGGCCAATATGACTGCCGACCAAATCGCGAGCAACATGACCTGCTGACAATATTGATAACGTACTTTAATTTCTAACAGTAATACTTATTCAAAATATTGAACTTTAAAAAACCTAGGATTTAAAAATAATTCAGTTCAACTCAATTTATTTATCTCTTCACAGCTTACTGACAATGTAGTAAGGACGTTGTGAGAGACTGGGACCAAACTGCAAAGAGTGTGCAAAATTTCATTGAAATCAGTTCAGTAGTTTAAGAGTTAATCGCGGACAAACAATGTGACACGTAATTTTTATATATAAAGATATACAAATAAATACAAATCGGGGTGATTGACAGCCTGTTTTGGAAAGGCTATTTTGAATTAAAAATTATTTAATTCATTTTTTTGCCGGTTACGGTCATTCTTTTCCTTAATAAAATTGGGCTCTCTTAAAAAAACTATGTGGAATATAATAAAATGATTAATTTAAAATTTGATAATCACATCAAAAAGTTTTATTAGATTCTTGTTTTTTTTTGTAAACTGGTGTTTTTTAAGTAAAGGTTTTGTAAGAGGTAGAAAAAAAGTAAGAGACTTATTTCTGTATAATTGCAAACCAAAAAAGATTTATTAGAAAATATTTCTAAATGAGATATCCTTCAGACTAAAATTATCAAATTAAATCATTATTTTAATCTGGAGGTAGCCGTGTTTAACTGTATATTGAGACCTTGAACACCTAAGTCCCCTCCGTGCCCATGGTTGCTGTAAATTACTTGAAATGCCGGGAACATAAGAGATTATACGCGAAAAAATCCGTAAAATCCAGTATTATTTAAATGTGTAGTGTTAACGTAAACATAAGAAATCATAATAATGGCTTCTTATAATTATTTTTTTAATTAAATGATTGAACTTAAAAAACCCAATTAGTTTTATCCACAAAAACGCTATTATTCGTGGACATTTTTAAGACATTTAGTTCTTTAAAGCCGGTATTAACTTTTAATTAAGATTTTTATTTTTGACCCTTTTAAGTGGGGTTAGACATAACACAAGCTCAAGGTCAACTAGAGTGTCGTCTACATAGTTACATTAAACTTTTCATTCCTTATTTTTTTAGAGGTCTATTTCGCTTATTTTTCTTAGAGGTCTATTTAGCGTTACAGGCTAGCAAAATTCCACTGCTGAACATAGACCTCCCCATAGATAGGAAATGCTTTATAGCAGCGATATTTGCCACAGTTGCTACACCTAGTAGATGGATTGGTAAGAACAGTGTTTTATTTTCCAGTTGATATAAGGAAGATGTGAATATAGCCTTAAAATGGACAGCAGCATTCTATACGTGGTAGAGCCATGCTGAAGCTATATTAGTAGTATAGTTGTAGCACGAATGGGTCGGCTCGACCGGGGAAGGACCATGTTCTCACAGAATATCAGCGTTAAGTAGCAGCTTAACACTGCTGTGTTTCGTGTGGTGAGTGTATAGAACCGGAGACCCTTTTAACTGGAAAGGAGGCATTCCATCTTAGTCCTCACAGGTGACAACGTATCTGCATTTTGATTCGCAAACGAGGATAGATACACTTACCATTAGGTGGACTGTATGCTTGTTTGTCACCCTATCCTATAAAAAAAAAAAGAAAAAAGCAAACTTATGTGCTTATTTTTTATTTTTTTGAGCAACTTGTAATTACTGCCTACTCGTATTAGGTTAATTGCTAATAATTTTTATGGTAATATTAGGCTTAAAGACACCTTCATACATCTACCGGTTTTTAACTAGTAACGTAGGTATGTTACTAGTTAAAAACAAGCCAAGTGCGTGTCGGACCACGTCCAATGTAGGGTTCCGCAGTTGCCCGTCACAATACGTGAGCTTAGAATAAGCCATCTTAATACTATGAGCATATTGAGTTAACGGTTTGACCGCTATAACGACTAAATAAACGAGGATATTTTTTTTAATACACCACGTTACTGATCATATTCTTGCATAGTCATCCGAATTTGAGCTATATTCAAAATTTCAAGTTTCTAGCTCATCAGGAAGTTAGTTTAATCACTAAATTCTACCCGGAACGACAGACAGAAAGACAGATGAACAAGAATTTTACTAAATGAAACGTGGTAAAAAGACCCCAAATAAGATAATAGTTAACGAAGAACATACTTTGCAAGCAGACTTAGGTAGTGGTGTTCAAAAAAGGATTAAAAAACTTTTCGATTTTGAAAATGATATAATCTATATCAAATTTATCACGTGCCAAGTCCGTACAAAAATGGTCATAGTTCCCTATATGTATATAATAGGGACTACTATGCCCGCGTAATCCAAGAGTATCGCGAATGATAGCGTAGGCCTACAAAAACTACTAACTAAATAAAACCGGCAAAGTGCGAGTCAGACTCGCGCACCGAGGGTTCCGAACAAATCCGTAGGTATATAAGTTTAAAATTATTAAAAATATTTTTATTATATGATGTAACTAAAATTATATGCTTTTCGCAATTTTCCCTTTATTTGTGCTATAATACGTTGCTTCGTACCAAATTTTAAGATTCTGAGTTCACGGGAAGTACCCTGTAGGTTTTGATTCCTTTGGGAATGTCGAAAATTAGCGGCATAAATTTCAGCTTGATACCTTCACGCGTTCCTGAGAAAAGGGGTCTTGACAGACAGACAGACAGACAGACGGACAAAAAAGTGATCCTATAAGGGTTCCGTTTTTTCCTTTTGAGGTACGGAACCCTAAAAATACGCGAAAGTGGTATGTTAGTATCGGTCTCTTGGCCATCAATCCTCTCTGCCCACCTCGGAAAGGAAAACGCAAACCAAAGTAAATTAAGTAAAGTATTTTTTAATATAACCTATTGGATAGGTAGATATAACAACTATAGGATATCAATAGTAGCACAAACACAAACGACCTTGTGTAGTAATCGACACAAATGTAGATAATAACTACGGATACTTTACATATTTAATTTCAACCACATCTCGTGTTTCTTACAATTAAGAAGGTAAATACTTACTCGCTTAAAGTTAAATTATAGTTTTTATTTTATATACCTTTTGTGTTACAACCATAATATAGCTGCAGCATGATTATACCAAGTACGACAATAAAGATTTTAAATATTTACAATTTCAATTTAGAAGTTGGCTTTGAACATTAAATTTCCATAAAATACAATTTAGTCCCACAAATAACATAATTAAATTTATTAAAAAATTAGTTTTTTTGGGCGGAACCCATCATATTGCTTTTTATAAAACAAAAGAAGCATAAGTTACTCCTTATAAAATTAGCTATCTGCCGATGAAAGTCCTGTCAAAATCGGTTCAGTCATTTCGGAGATTAGCCTGAACATACAGAAAAACAGACAAACCGACAGACATTTTTTGTCATAAGTACCGTTTATATCTTCATATGAATTTAGTAAAAATATGTTTTTTTTTTTTTTGAGATTAGAGACACTTCAATTGTATTTATTTATATACACAATAATATTATAGATAAAAAGCAAATAGGTACTCTAATAAAAACAACACAAAAACTCACCATGATACTCGTGATTCCCGACAAAACAAAAACAGAGATAAAGGTTTGCATGCGTTTTTTATCAAAATTAATAACAACTTGCGTGGTTTAGTGATTTGATAAATACAAAAGAGACAAAGAAAAAAAAACTTGTTTGTGCAGACGACGTTGCGCGATGATCAACAAAGACTTACTCGTGGATAGTGGAAGCGATTTGTTGATTTTGATTTTAACATGCGATGATACACTGATTGGTCATAGATGAGGCAAACACAGTCATATATGCACTTTAATAAGGTTAAATTTATTGTTATTAATATTGAAAAAAAAAACTGCGTTAATTTGAGCTAAGGGGGCACTGACCTCTATATGTATATCATTATGCGGATACAAGTATAAGGGGGTTATTTGCATGCTATTAAGACCTTTTTAAAAAATATATGTGTCTGTCTTTATATCTGTCTGTTCGGGCAGTCACGAATACCTAAAAAGCAATGCCAAAAGTGATCTAGACTGTAATTTATCAAACAACCTTGGAAATTTTTTTGGATACTACAAAAACTGCCTTTGATTGTCTTAAATCTTAATAACGCCACATTAATACAACCTTTTCTTTACATGGGGAAATGCCGGCAAGGACGGGTTATGTAGGACTTGCACCGACTAAAAACCCATGGTGTTCCACCTTCGCCGCATATTGGCAAGGCCACGGGAACACTTTCGCACACATCCGCGGCTACACCAGGAACACAAGGCACGCTCCCCTCCACGGCCTCCAACTCCACCTGCGTATCGGACCCCTCTGTGTCCGATACGCGGAGGCCATGGGGCCAAGAAAATCGGGCGCTTAGTAGCACCCGCTTTCCCGACCCCAGCGGCGGATCAGGTCTCTTGCTCCGCCGCCAACCAAGTTTCGGCCACGGAGGCTAGGGAAATTGCGCCTCGCAATACTGACACTCCTCTCCCCCCGCGGCCCTACCACTACCGCATCTATGGGGCGGTCCCGTCAAAGTTGCGGAGGATAGGGCGAGTGGCGCATCGCCATACCAATACTCCTCCGCGACTCCACCTCGGCTGCAGCATTAGGCGGAGAGACACCCCTCTCACCGCAGCCAACCGACACACATCCGAAGTGGGCTTGCCAAGCCCACTCGGAGTGGCCACCCCGGGCCGGCCCTACACCACGGGCCAGCCAAGGGGTTCCTCTTTGTTTACCGCGAGTGACCAAGCTACGGCTAATAAGCCCCCCCCCCCTCAACAACTCGGGAACCCGTTCGGGGGGGATATTAATACAACCTAGCCACGCAAATCCGTGTTGGGTCGCTTGTAATAAAGTATAATTTAAATACTTCAACGTGTTATACGGTCACGGTATTAAGATACCAATACTTTTTTCCACTAATTTTTTTAAGTCCAGCTGATGGTAAGTGGACACTACAGTACATGTTCACCTGCAACCAACTCCAAACAAAAGTTACAGATGCATTGTCACCTGTAATTATTGACTCTCTTACCCTTCAGATTGGAATACAGCATGTGATGCTATTTATAATCAGCATAACATTTGCTTAGCCAAGTAAGAAAATGTTAAGCTGTTCAAGTCATTGTTGATATTGTATTTAAAAGGGTGATGATTAGTTCAAAAACATCGGTATCGTATATAATTCAATAATAAATGTCCTCCTATCCATAGATACTACATAGATGTCTACATCTATCCTCAATAAAGAATCAAAAAGCAGATGCTTTGTCATCCGTGAGGACTAATATGGAATGCCCCTTTTCCAGTAAAAAGGGTCTCCGGTTCTCTGCACCCGCCATACTAAACACAGCAGTGTTCAGCTACTGTTTTACGCTGGTATTTTGTGAGAACGTATTCCTTCCCCGGTCGAGCTGACCCATTCGTGCTACAACTATAAAACTAATATATAATATACAGGATATTATGTAAATATAGCTATACGTGGGAGAGTATTTGTAGCTTTAAAGGACTATAAGTTTTCATATGTTTGTGTGACCTTTTGAAATTTATTTTATTATGTCACTAGCTGTGCCCCGCGACTTCGCCCGCGTGGAATTTACTGCGATTTCATGTATATGGATTTTTTTGCGCGGAACCCTAATTTTATTTTTGAGTAATGCTACCATTGTATCCCCCTTCCACTCGGACATTTGAGAAGACCAGACGTGTTTTTTTTTGGTTAATCGCTATTAATTAAAGTTCTATATTGAAATTCTTGCCAAATAATATTAGTGGAATAATAGGAGATCATACGTTTCGAAGAGCATCGAGCCTAAAATCGTCACTGCAGAGTGGATGCGTGTGCGACGAATCAACATAGATATAGAAGATATAAATACACTGTTATGCATGTGAGTTACTTTTGCAATCTACTATCTCACCCTTTTAAGCATAAGTACACTACCTCGCAACAAAATAAGACAGCATATATGCAATATCTATGAATGAAAGTAACAATTACCACCCAGGGATCTACTAACACTGGACGACAAAGTAATTTATAAGAAATCGTCGATTGCCACCAAATTATCTTGATCTCTCTTGTCGTGGATCACTTTCATAAGGGTTAAGGGGCTACTCCATGCGAACGGCCTTGAGCATTTGACCGGCGCGCCGCTCGCTACAATATAACGTAGTATGTATTATTTTTTCAACATCAATAAACTATTTTATGGAAATACACACAGCGTACAAAGATAAATGTATTTTAATTTTTTTATTCGGTATATATATGTTGTATTATATTAGAATTATGTATTTTCATATATTATCTAATTATGAAATTTTATAATTAATTATACATATATTAAAAATGAAGCATTGAAAATTGTGAGTTTAAAAGATACCTATTCACTATAGGTAAATAAATGGATAGCTCGGCTTTTGTACAAATATTTGGTGCAATAAAAATAAATAAATAAATAGGATGTGTTTTTGATTATTGTTAATTTTTACGTGTCACGTATTGAAAAGTAATATACCTACCTACTAATTTTTTAACTGAGCACGTTGTAACTTAGCCTGCTTATTATTTATGCTGGCAGATATTATCCTCACCCCAATGATTGATGAGGATGAAAATCAATTTTATTTCTACATACGTAATTATATTTATTTATACATAAGGGTAACTTTAATAAAGGTAATACAAAAATCAACAAGAAGTACAAAGGTTCAATCTTTCAATTTCAATTGTAAAAAAACGTTACCCCTACACTAGGATTTTCTCCTGTGTCGTGGAGGCAGTTTAGAAACATAAATTGCACAAGGACAAACATCCAGACCCGGAACAATTATTTGTAGGCCATACAAATACTTGTTCCGTGCGGTATTCGAACCCGCGGCCCCCAGCGCAACAACTGATTGCTAAGCCACTACGCCACGAAGCCGTCGCCGGGTTATAGCTAAATGACCATACGTCCCGTTTTGAACGGGACTGTCCTTTTTCTCGGTCACCTGTCCCATTGTCCCCAAACAAAGCTCCGGGACACAAAATTGTCCCGTAACTCGTTGGATCGAAGTATTCAAAGTCAACAATCTTCAACATAATTTTTTTTAAACGAATATATTTTATGTCTACCTGGTACGAATGCTCCGGTAGAAAGAGTATTTTTTTTATTTTGATTAAATTGTGGACGTCTGAGAGAAACACTTACGGTTCCAGAGTTCTAAAGGCGATGTTGTTAACAAAGATAACAATAAAAAAACTTGAGCAGAATTTTATTTTTATTTAAAATCATCACCAACTTTATTAAAGAAAATTTAATCCACTGACAGTACATCTGTCAGTGGATTAAATATGTTGCATTTAATAATTACCGTCTATACCGAATATAATTTTAAAGTGAACACTAATTGTATAAAGTTATAGTTTTTAGAGTATAAATAAACCCATGTCCTGTTTTGAGTTAAAAAATAAATGGTCAGTTTAGTCTTTTTAGTTACATTTAGTTTTAAAAATATTTAGTTAATAGTAAAAAGTAGGTATATTAGTACCTACTTAGATACTTTTTACCGAATTATAAGTATAGAACACCTTATGTACTCAATTATTTTTTGAAAAAGAAGAAAAAACAAGAAATAAATAATATACTATATTTTAGCAAAAAACTATAACTTAGTAATACTAATTATAACTTAGAACATAAATGAAAAACTCATAACTGACTTTTGGGCCCGACCCAGGATTCGAACCCGGGACCTCATGATCAGCAGTCGCACTACTACAACCACTAGACCAACGAGGCAGTACTATACTTAATAAGATATTGAGGTTGGGTGATAATATTGAATTAGCCTTTTATAGTGTAAATTATAATATTTGTCGAAATTTTAATTATGGTTTCGAACCTTACATGCTAATGGTGCTTCATTTTTTTTATTTGCATTTACTTCAAAGAAAATACGCGCAAAAAGCTTCATCGCGCAGTAAAAAACACAACAAATATATGTATAACTAATACGAAAAATTATACCCAAAACAAACAAATAATACTACCAATTACGTTAACTGCAGCCGAGGGACCCAAAAAAAACCGAAACTAGTTTAAAATACTTTATTATAATATAAAAATTACAATATAATTACTATAACTAAAATATAAGTGAATCAGATCGATGCTAGATCTAGAATGAATTTTAATTATTACAGTAAAAATAAGGTAAAGGTATATTGCAGAGCTCCGGTTGCATCCGTTGACGTCAATGCTCACGTTCTGCTGAGTTGCGCCTCGTGCCGCTGCAATGTATCGGGGTCGCTGCTGTGTAGGCTCTTTACCTATGAGGCTATGTTATAACTCCTCCACCCTCAGATCAGCAACTATTTTAGAACCTTGAGAGAAAAAGTTGCTGGTAATGCCTTTTTGACTTCGGATTCTTCGGGCTTTTCATAGCTATGTTGGGTGTTATTCTGGATCTGTTCTTGCTTCTCAGACTTGTAGTAGTAACGAACTGAGATTATGATAGCGAATATTGCAATGCTTGATAACACGGCGTAAAAGGGAATAGTGGTGTGATATAAAGTTGGGAGATCCATCTCTCTCAGATGAAGTGGTGGTTGCATCATGAGTTGGTCCTGGGCTGCGTGGAGTCCTTTCAGGTTAATTGTATTAAGGCTGATTCGTGGTACTGCTGGGTTGCCTTTTGCGTTTATATCCATTCGTATTTTCATTAGTTTCAGTGGATGATGACTTGATCGTTAATATTGGTAATGGTGAATTCTTGTGTTCGCAGGAAGCAATTAATTGGTATTGTGGCTAAGTAACTACCCTGTAATGTAGTAATATCTTCACGCCCGCATATTGTTTGGACTTTAGTTAGTTGAGGGAAAGAGATGGTGTAGTGCTTGTCGTCAAGACGTTCCATGGCTTCTTTTGATAGTGCAATGTCGGTTATCTTACAGGATTTTGCTATAGACTGATTGATGATGAGGTTCTGGATACAGTCGGATTGTGTTCGAATTTGGGTGTTCGTTTCCTTTTCGCATAGGTACCGATTACTCAACTTCGGACATTCTGTCTCCATGTACACGAATTTTTCTCTATTAGTTGCTATTAAAGGATAGGGTGAAATAATAGATTGGTGGTTTTGTTAGGTACAATGGATAAGCGGTATAGGTCGAAGGTGTCTTTGGAAATAACAGGGAATTTTAGAACAATTACTATATGATTTTCTGTAAAATAATAACCTGACTTAATGATATCGTAATATTCTCTAGTCTCTAAATTTAATACATGTTCCTTATCATAAATTTGTCTTAATCTTACTAACATAGACTTAATTACCTTAACACTTAACGTAGAATGGTGGGTGCTCGATGCACGACTAAATGCTAATATATTTTCTATCCTATTAAGCTCATTGAGCATATCATCAATATTTTCTGTTAAAATTGTTAGTAGTTGGGCAAACTTAGCATACTTGATGAGGCTACTGTCTTTATAAGCGGCTCCATCTAGTAATTGGATAAGCGTTGAGTTAATTTTGTTCTCGTTTTCAATTATCTGGGATATCACACTATGAATAGAATAGAATAGAATGATTTTTATTCAATATGGATTATTACATAATACTTATTGAAAGTCATTATTTTATTTACCACTGGTTCGGAAAATACCTCTGTCCTGGGAAGAACCAGCAAGAAACCCAGCGGGACTTTTTTTTTAAACATAATTTCACTTAACAATAATTTTGTTTATACAATTTTAAATGAATTTTCATAGAACCAGCATGGTGGCGATCACCTTATTCCCAGGGGTTATTTTCATTAATGTATTCCTTGATATTATAATAACCCTTTTTGTACAGTTTTTCTTTAATAAAACTTTTAAACTTGTTTATTGACAAACTTTGAACATGTTCTGGGATTCTGTTGTAAAAGCGTATACATTGCCCCATAAATGAATTACTAATTCTGTGGAGTCTTGTAAGTGGCATTACAAGCTTATGTTTGTTCCTAGTGTTTAAGGTATGAACATCCTTATTCTTATTAAAGCTATTTATGTTTTTATGTACATACATTACATTTTCATAAATATATATTGCGATGCCAAAGTTAATATGTTTATTTCTTTAAATTTTTCTCTAAGGGACTCTTTACAATTTAGATTATAAATCGCCCGTACTGCTCTCTTTTGCAAAACAAATATAGCTTCAATATCAGTCGCATTACCCCATAGCAAAATTCCATAAGACATTACGCTATGAAAGTAACTAAAATACACTAACCTAGCTGTCTCAACATCTGTGAGACTTCTAATCTTTCTTACAGCATATGCTGCAGAACTAAGTCTGCTTGCTAATTTAGATATATGGGGGCCCCATTGAAGTTTCGCGTCAATAGTAATACCGAGAAAAACAGTGGTATCCACAAGACTCAACTCCTCCCCATTTAAGAGCACATTGGTTTTCGAATGTTGTACATTAGGTATTGTAAATTTAATACATTTTGTCTTATTGCCGTTTAAGAGCAAATTGTTGGCGTTAAACCAATGTACTAGTTTCGATAGAGCATTATTTACATCGTCATATTTAATTGACTGCCGTTTCAGTTTGAAAATTAAAGAGGTATCGTCAGCAAATAATACTATATCGTGATTGTCCCCTACAAGATAAGGTAAGTCATTAATATAGATTAAGAACAGGAATGGGCCAAGAATCGAGCCCTGAGGAACGCCCATTGATACTACTGATCCGGAGGAACATTTACCATTAATGACGACTTTTTGAGTTCTGTTACTGTTATATGAAGTAATAAGTTTAAGCGCCAAATTTTTTACACCGTAATGTTGTAGTTTCCTGATTAATGTATCATGATGAACACAATCGAAAGCCTTGGAAAGGTCACATTATGTTGTAACATCCATTCTTTACTAATGCTAATGTGACTATTGAATTCAGATTCGATCCTATCTTGGTTATCCTTCAAATCTTTTATGGCATTGTTATATTTGGCGGCATCTAAATAATCTAGATTACCGGTTACGCTTTTGATCACTGAGCCTAATCCATCTACTAGACCTCTCTTAGTGCGACTAGGCTCTAAGCTATTTAGTTGTAATAATACTTTGTCTAGTTTGCTAGAAAGATAGTCCATTTGTAATTCGTACAGTAAGTTGGTGTCATTATCAAGTCTGTTCTTGTAGTTCTGTAGCTGTACCTGCAATAAGGTTACTTTGTCTCTGATGTCGTCAAGTTTAACATATTGAAGAAATGTATGATAGTGAGTTATGAGAGTCGTTGGTCCAAGTCTAAATGGTAGTAGGCCTGGTCCGTCTTCAAGATATTCAAGTTTTATCTCCTGGGCTTCGATCGTCAGCACGGTCAGTACAGTCAGTAATTTTAGAGTTCTGTAACAAATCGGCAGTTTTAGGTACACGTTTAAGTCTAGACTTTCCTATCGGACCGCGTTTCCTAGACGTGTAAATGTGTATTGGTAAGTCAGCTAGAACATGATCATGGGTGTAACGTGGGGCTAATTTTTGTCGGCTAGCTAGGGGGTTGGAAACGAAAACTTGTTGGTTTGGTTGGTATTCAACCTCTGGTTCCCGTGATTTATTCCGATTATTTATTAATGCTGAGCGTTCGGAGAAAGAATGTTCGTTAATTATTTCATACACTGTTTTCATTCGATCTCGGTGTGTTAGTATGTATTGCTGCAGTAAATGTTTTGTCAAGTCGATGTCGATTGGGTCTCTTGGGTTGAAATGTCCATTGACAATATCGTAAGGCCTACATTTAGTGAAACTATGTACAGAACTATTGTATCCTAGGATAGCATAGGGCATTAGATTTACTACATGTTCATCTTTCTTTTGTAGTTTTAGGATTCGCAGGTGTTCCAGTATAGTCGAGTGGAACCGCTCTATGTTACCGTTGTCATTGGGACAGTAAGCTAACGTTCTATGATGGTTAATTTTGTGTAATTTTACGAATTCAGTAAATAGCTGGTTCGTAAATTCGGTCCCATTGTCGGTGACAATAGAAAGAGGAAGACCATGATGCGTACAGAAGGTAAGTAGGCTTTGTATAATGCTAAATGCTGTTCCGTCTCTTAAATGATACGCTTGAGCATATTTGGAGAATACGTCTATAAATGTGAGGTACTTTTCATTATCTACTGTGAACATGTCCATATGGATAATCTCGAAAGGTTTGGTAGCGGGGGGAACGATATTGAATTGAGGTTTTAGAGGTTTCCTATCGTACTTAGCCTGACCACATATGGTACATTCATTAATATATTTCGTAATGTGTTCCCTCATTTTGGGCCAATAGTATCGTTTGGAAAGGGCCAGGAAACTCTCGTTGATACCGCGATGGTTAGTTTTACCTTCGTTGTAGTTCTTTATTATTTCTTGTTGTTGCAAATATTCTTTTATATTTTCGACCTCAAGTTTAGTTAATACTAGATTCATAGACGAACTTCTGAATTTATCTTGTAAGATTGGAATGACGTCATACATGCAAAGAGGGGGGTTAATTAATAATCCGGTTTTGACTTTTGGGTTAACGTATTCTTTTATGGCGTTGACAAGGTTTACTTCCATTTCCGGTTGTCTTATCTGTACAGCTGTTCGAGTATGTGTATCAAAAGTTTTGGTCACTATTGGTCGTCTTTTTATGTCGCCTACAATTGTTAGTATTAGTTGTCTGTGGAATTTATTAAGAGGTTCGTCGGTAATAGGAATTTCAAGGATCGGATTTTCTTGGCTTGTGTGGGCCGTTTGAGTAGTCGAGCCAGTGCTAGGGGCTGTTTTTACTGATGGGTTAGCTAACATAGAACACGATTCTTCGTTATATATTTCCACCCGGGAAAGCGCATCGGCATTGGTGTTATTTTTTCCTTTTTTATATATGACAGAATAATCGTATTCGCTTAATTTTAATTTCCACCTAGTAAGTCGTGAGTTCGGTTCCTTAAGATTCATTACCCACTGAAGGGGTTTATGATCAGTTAAGATTTTAAAAGTACGGCCAAATAGGTAGGGTCTAAAGTACTTGGTTGCCCACACGATGGCAAGGAGTTCTTTCTCTATAGTGCTGTAGTTCACTTCGCTCTCATTTAGAGTTCTAGAAGCGTAATATACAGGTTTGTCTGATCCTATGGGTCCCTGAGATAGGATGGCTCCTATCGCTACATTGGATGCGTCAGTGGTCAGGATGAATTCTTTGTTGAAGTCAGGATATTGAAGGATTGGGTCGTTAGTCAAGAGAGTCTTGCACTTTTCGAAGCAGTTAATATAGTCTGTGTCAAGAGTTATTTTTCGTCCCTTTTTTAGACATCGTGTCAGAGGTTTAGTAATTCGAGCAAAGTCTGGGATGAACTTCCGATAATAACCTATAAGGCCTAAAAACTGTTTAATCTCTTTTGCGGTTTTGGGAATGGATACTTTTCTATGGCTGATATTTTACTAGGATTTGGCTTAATGCCATCTTTACTAATTATATGTCCTAAATAAGCGGTTTCCAATTTAAGAAACTCGGATTTATCCATTTGTATTTTAAAATTGGATTTCCCGTAGTTTCTGAAATACTTTCTCAAGATACCATATGTTCTTGCAAGGAAGTGCTGAACACAATAATATCGTCTAAGTACACGAGACAAACTGTATTTTGGAGATCACGGAGCACGTTATCCACGACACGCTGAAACGTGGATGGCGAGTTCTTCAGGCCCATGGGCATCCGTAAGAACTCGAAATGCCCGTGTTCAACGTTGAATGCTGTTTTCGGTATGTCACTAGGGTTCATTTCGACCTGGTAAAATCCACTGGCTAAATCCAAGGTTGTGAAATATTGGCAATTTCCTAACTTATCTAGTACATCCGATATATTCGGGATTGGGTATTTATCACTAATGGTTTTTTCATTTAGCTTCCTAAAGTCGACTACGAGTCGCCATTTAGTCTTGTCAGAAGCATCAACCTTTTTAGGAACTATCCAGATGGGAGAGCTCCATGCAGATTCTGATGGACGAATTATACCTTGCTCTAACATTTTACTGATTTGTTGTTTAACTTCATCTCTATGAACGTAAGGGTACCGATAGCTTTTAGTATATATCGGTATCTCATCAGTGGTCCGGATGCTATGCTTTATTTTATTAGTAAATGTGAGCTGTTCGCCTTCTATATAAAAAACGTCGGCGTATTTGGCACATAATCTTTCTAAATTAGCGCGTTCTTCGGCATTTAGATGGTCGGTGCGTAAACGTGATAATACTTCTTTGTAATGTGGGAGTGGTTGAACGTTGTGAGAGGACTCGATGTTATACGTCTCAGCACATATTGGACGATCTAGGGAGAAAATTATATCGTGCGGAGTCGGGTTAAATACCTCTATAATACCGCGGTTATTTGACACTAATGTTAGACATTAGTTTATCACGCAATTAGAGATGTATTGTTCGCTAACTAAGGCTTTTCCGTCATGGACATTAATAGGTACTTTTATTAATTTTGAAGATTGGGATGGTATCACGTCCTCGTAAAAATTAACATTTCTAGAGTTATACATTAAGAAGATAGATTTATATTTATACATTAAGAAGTTAGATTTCTAGAGTTATACAATAAGAAGGTTGTAAGCTAATCGTGTTACAAGTAATCTATCCTTTAGATCTATTCTAGCTTCCCATTTCTCTAATAGGTCGAGACCAATAAGGCCATCGAAGTAATCGTGAAATTTATAAATATATAATTTAATACTATCACGCTCTTGGAATTCGGAAAAGCATGGAATAGTAATCGAATAATTATTCCTAGTTGTAGCATGCACATTCGTTACCTCGAACGGACCATAATTTAAAGGTATATGTGAAAAATATTTTTGTATAGCTTCCGGATTAATGAAGGACTGATTCGCTCTGGTATCGATTAGAAATTTTAACGGAGGGTTAGAAATACATATGTATGGAAGCTGTCTCTGCGTATGTAAGTTTACTTCTATTTTGGCTTTTTTGAAAAACGAGTCTTTGGAAAATCCTGAGGCGAACTGCTTGTAGAAGGTTGGCAGTCTCTGTTATCTTGTTCGTTTATCTCAGTTGAGTTATGGTATTGGTAATGCTGTGTGTCGTCATAGTCATAGGTCACAGTATTGGTATAGTCGTCATTATCATTATAGTCGTAATATTCGTATTGGTGTTCAGGATAATAGTAACTATCGTAATCAGCACATTCGCTAAAATTCATTTCCCTACTTTTGAAGTAATTTGAAGGCGGCGGGTTACCGTATTTGCGCCAATCATGACCGGTCAGACCTGTTGGAGGCATTGGTTTAGGTACGTAATGGCTAACCCCACTCATAGGCTTCGGACCTGAGTCATGGGGTGGATTCCTATTTGGTAATCTAAACGTATTACTATGGGGTTTATAATTAGGTGGCAAAGCGCGGAACATTTGTTGAGTTCTCGTAGGCATGTTATACTGTGGTGGCACGTTAGGCCTAAAACCTTGCTGCTGTGGTACATGTAAAGGTCGCTGCAAATTGGGCATTGGTATCGGTGCAGGAAAACTGAATGGTTTTTGCAAAGGTAAGGTCATGTAGCTAGGTTGGAGAGTCTTAGGTGCTTGAGGTTTCCTCTCGGCGAAAGGTTCACCGCGTTGTTGCAAGTACATAACATTCAGTTCTTCCTGTACAAACTCCAAGGCTTTTTCAATGGTATCAGGACGCATGCAACGTATTCGTGAGCCCAGTGGCTCCTTTAAACCGCGCACGAAAGCTTGCTTCGTTAGATTCTTATATAATACACGTTTGGCTTCTATTGTAGTAGGCAAGGTTTCATGAAGCGTAACATACGTCATGATAGTGCTGAACAGTGTCTGACATCGTGCATAAAATTCTTGGGGAGAGCTGTTCCCCTGAGTAGCTAATGAGAGGTCATTATAGAGCGCCGTTTCGTCTCTTTGGTCCGAAAAGTTATTGATTAAAGCTGTGCGAATGCCATGCCAGCTTTCAGGAATACCATTTGAATTTAAAGTAGTCGCGGCGGGTCCAGTTATTTTATTTAATATACCGTTAAGCAAACATAAGTTCGATAGTTCACTGCCAGGTTCATTACTTAGATATGCAGCACATATTTGGTCACATAATTTTATAAACCTAGTTAGTACATTAGGATTACCGTCGAACTCTGGCACTGGGCGTAAAACTTTGAAAATAGTGTCAGGGTCGTGGGCCATTTTTGATTCCTCGGTAATTATATCTAACTCTAAATAACAACTTAAATCTCTATTATAGTCTAAACTTTCTCTACGTGGCTGCCTACGCGATGTAGGGTCACAGTGGGATGATTTCCTTGGATAGAAAATTTTGACAGGAAAGATTTACACTAGGAAAAGGAAAGCAACACTAGATAAAATTCTGGTGTACTTACATAAATTTCATCTCGGTTTTCTCGGGATCGATGTCTTGATGTATCCTCTTGGCTTGCAGTTGACCCGTAGTAGATTCGAATACTCGTTTAAAGCTTGAAAGCTACGATAGCCTAACTAACTATTGAGTATCCTACCGACTGCGCCAATTACGTTAACTGCAGCCGAAGGACCCAAAAAAAATACCGAAACTAGTTTAAAATACTTTATTATAATATAAAAATTACAATATAATTACTATAACTAAAATATAAGTGAATCAGATTGATGCTAGATCTAGAATGAATTTTAATTATTACAGTAAAAATAAGGTAAAGGTATATTGCAGAGCTCCGGTCGCATCCGTTGACGTCAATGCTCACGTTCTGCTGAGTTGCGCCTCGTGCCGCTGCAATGTATCGGGGTCGCTGCTGTGTAGGCTCTTTACCTATGAGGCTATGTTATAACTTACCTATAAATAACCTAATAAGTAATAATAATATCGACTGATATGACGTGAGTTGCGCTGGTCGACGCTCTAACGACACGGGCTTCACGTCGAAGAGCTCAGGGCTCACTGACTTCAGCAAGCCCGTGAGCAGTGAATATGCCCAGATTTTAAAATAATTTCTTAATAAAATCAAATTTTGGTCTTTTGAAAAAAAATTTACTATAGAAATGTTTATTAATAAATTGCCTATCCATTGGTGTAAATCGCAAAATAAAATAATACTTACTTTACGAGGAGATGCATGTTATCAATAATAATTTCACATTTATGTGGTTTCGTTGTAAGGAGATTATATTAATATTTATTCGTTTAAACAAAAATTGGATATAGCTTTTATGGAATCAAGATTATGTAGAAATATAATGTGTTTTTTATTTGTTGATATATCTTTTAAATAAAAAGTAGATAGCTTCTAAAAACCGCACAAATAACGACTAGCGCGACATTTTGCTCAACCTGCGCCTTAAGTCAGTGTATTTTACGCCATCCGTATAGTAATATAGTTGCTGTATTTACAATATACGATAATTTTTGTTGCCCTGGTACGCGTACAACATGCCGCTTAAGAGAACCCCGCCGCTTACACCCACTAATTTAAATGTTGCCTTCGCTCATTCTCATACACACTCAGATCCAAACTTGAGTATATTTGTGGATATTGAGGATGCATTATCTAATGTGACCCAACGTAATCTCAATACTAAAAGGAAGAGTGAAAATTTAGGAGAAAAGAGTGATTTAGACGACTTTAAGTCATTAATGGCGAATATGTTTCAAGATCTGAACAATACAATGAATGAGATAAAAGATCAAAACAATGAGCTTAAGGAATCAGTTAAATTTACAGCCGCTAAATATGAAGAGGTATTGGAAAAGTTGCAAAAAATTGAAGAAGATAGGGCCGAAGATCGGAAATACATACGTCAATTAGAAGACAAAATAGACCAACTAGAGAGGCAAGCTCGTGCTACCAGCTTAGAGATAAGAAATATACCAAATGTTAGTGACGAAAGTAAGCAGGGAATTTCTAAGATAGTCGTTGAAATAGGTAAAATTATTAACGTGCCGATACACGATGCCGATGTGAAGGATATATTCCGCATGAACGCTAAAAAAGCTAAACCTCTAATAATTGAGCTTAATAATGTCATGATGAAGGAACGGATACTGCACGCTGTGAAAAAATTTAACAAGGATAATAAAGAAAATAAATTGAACACTAAACATTTAAAGATGGATATGCCTTATGTCCCGATTTTTATATCAGAGAATCTTACCACAAAAAGTAAACGACTGTTCTTCTTAGCGAGAGAATATGGATTCCAAAACAACTTTAAATATTGTTGGACGTCCTATGGAAAGGTGTTCCTCAGAAAAGAAGATGGTGCACCACCTATTCGGATTGAGTCAGAAATCGACATAAGTAAATTAAGAAATAAATTGTGACTAGTCTTATCAAGTTCAGATTTAAGTATTTGCTGTGCTATTAAATTTATTCATTCCATTAATTTATTTAAAAAAAATTTTTTTCTACTTAAATTAGTTTTGTCAAAATATTTTTATTTTACTTTCGTAATAACGAATAACGTGTCGCTGCAAATGCTTTATATACAAACACATTACATGAACGCCACAGAAATTATTTTCATATATACTATCACACCGCGCCAAGCTCTCACACAAATACTGACACAAACTATTATCCATAAACAATTAAAAATAACTCATTATACAATACAATTCATTGGTTTATATAACCGCCTGATACTCACAAATATTTTTACGATTGTTATATACGAACTCTGCAGTCCTTTAATTCTATTTATTCAAATTCAATAGTTTAAATTTAGATATAATTAGTGAAATTGACATCGCCGGTGATATCAATTGTACAATCGTAAATGATCTTGCATGCTTTAGAAAAGATACTGATTTTAAAAATTTAGGTAGTAATTCATTGAATATTATAACAGTTAACATTCGTAGTATTCAACGTAACCTATAAACATTCTTAATATTCTTAGCCCAACTCGAAATTCCAATAGATATAATAGTACTGACGGAGGGATGGATTAACGAAAACACAATTATCCCTGTAATTAATAATTATAACTCATTTAGTACTAAAATAAACC